TGGGATGACTGCCCACGAGTAAATGTATCAGAAACCACTGTTGGTGCCACAGAGAAACACCATCAGATGTGATATATGATTTAGAAGAGTTAAAATGCTCAGAATAGGGACAGAAAGATACTCAAAACTCTCTGCAATTGTGCTTTATGCCAATTAAACAGAGTTCCCCAGCTGTAAGCCCACACACAATTCATCAGACACAGCTGAACAGCTTCACATAGACTGGAGTGTAGGTAGGTATCATAAGGTAGGATGGTCCGAAAAGTACTCTCATATGGAAGAGCTACCTCCAAATGGTGCCACACTTAACAAGTTAGCCCAGCTGAAGTTAAACATTGCAGATGGTAAGATAGAGCTCGCATGAAATGTTCTGCCGTAGCTGCCAATAGAGTAATTTCTGCCAAAGTTTTTCCAAATGATGCGACACAGAAGACTGAACCAGAACTACTAAGCCATGAATGTAATTCAGGCTTGCTAAAGGACCCCATGGCCGAACTCCAACTGCAGCACTCCTATCCTTTTAAGTCCCTACTCATCCCATTGCCTCCCAATCTCCACTAAAAAAAAAAAGTTTCATGAGTAGCTACCAAGTACCTTCAATCATTTACCAGTTCAGCTCTGAGAAACCTCTCTGTAGTTATACTGAAGATTAATATACAACCTTCTACATGCAAAACAATGAAAGCTATGAGTTATTAGGCAAAAGCATACCATCACTTCAACATGTATTTCAAATACACCACAAAAATCTGCTTCCTTCTATTTAACTGTCCCCAGGACACTGTGGAAGACTGCTCATCCCTTATGCAAGGCATTACAAGAACCTCAGCTGTGTGCTTATGGAATTACTAAAGGCTCAATGTCACTTCCTTGTGCATAAATCGGTTTTGCATAAGATGCAGGAGCAAGAAAAGAAGTAATCCTTGCCTGCAGTGGCTCTTGCCCTCACATACTCTTAAATTAAGAGATTTTAGTCAGTAGATCCACACAAATTATGGGAAGGGATATAAGAAAACATAGCTACGAACTCACCAGTTATCTCAAACACCTTCTCACTGTACAACTGCTGCTACAAAAAGCCAGTTTGCATTGCTGCCCTAATACACTGGAATTCTTACCCTCATGCCTCCATCCATCATCTCACACACACACTATCCATGAATAAAAGAAACTTGGTGTGAATTTGCCCCAGAAGGAACGATGCATGTATTTCTCTCTCTCTCTTCATACATGCATATATATGGACATATCCATAAATGTCACTTATCATTTGGCAGTTGTGTGGTAAACATCCATACTGAGAAGTACTGAGCGCTGAACATCCTGGAATCACTGGAAAATTTGTAGCTCTCACATGAGACCCATACCCCAGTGGCCTGGTCACTGCTGTACATAGTATATTAGCTAGAACAGCTAGGTCAAAAGAGTCTTTTCCTAACATCTCAAAGCTGTGATGGAACAGGTCATCTTAATATAAAAAAAAAAAAAAAAAGTATTTCATAGCCTCTACTTATTCTGTCTCTCCCAGCTGATTAAAAAAAATATTTTCTCAATCCACACCATCACAGACAGTACAGAATGCATAAATGGCTCATTAAAACCATATCTTTCTGCCTTTATGCAGAATTAACAGTATTCTATTCACAGCCATTCCTAGCACAAAGTAGAAATTTTATCTCTTAGCTAGTGCTACCACTGGCCACAATGAACAATTCTAAAAGCAGCAGTTACAAAACAGAGGGTTCTTGCTGTTCATTAAGCCTTGTAATTGGGACCGTTTCTCCCATTACTTGCAGAAATCCACTGACAGAACTGTATTTGCATTTTTCAATGCTCAGTAAACTAGTGACAGTCAATTATATCTTCTTTTAGCTTTACTTTTCAATAAGACTCATGTTCAGTACAGAGAGAACATATACAGGACAGACTGCAAAGAGTTATCTGTTATCCTGCAAAAGTTAAAGCAATCTATGTTTTGTTACAGCTACACATTATTTGATATGCTACTACCAAACACTGTACCACTTGTTATTATACTTGGAGGAAAGATATTCCAGACACTTCATCGTACCTTTATGAGCAATGCATATATGCTTTGGTAAGAAGAGAACGTTAGTATAATCTTCCGAAGTAAAAAAGAGACCAAGGAGTATAGAAGTTCATAAACCTGTCCTTTTGGAACTCACCTGGTAAGGATGGGCAAATCTAAAGTGCGAAACACTGACTGCTCTGCAGTGCTGCACTAAGTGATGGCATATTCTCCTCTGGAGAGGAAGTGAGGTATTTGCACTGTGTACTTCAGCTAATGATAATCCAGCACACCTAACTTCAGGAGCCCAAATTCCTTATTCTTAGGAGCTAAGTGGAGGAATCTTCTGATTAGGAAGTTAATGAGAAAATTAATTTCTCAATGGGCAAGTACTTCTGAATGGTATTTCAGGATAGGTATCTTAGACACTTAACACTGTACATTATGAATACTGTATTCCTCTTCAACAAATACCCAGTTTTAAAGAAGTCACAAAAATATATACAAAGTTGAATTTGTAGCTGCAAATACCCTGCTGTTCTCCCAACTCCCCCTCACTAATCAGTAAATCACTGCTCTACAAGAGAAGGATTTTATCCTGAAGTTCAACGTAATTATGATGGCCTTCTAATATAAGCCTAACCAAAATTTCCTAAGTATCTGCCACAAACCAGTGGACAGGTGAGCTACTACCTGTAACACAAAAACCATAGCATTGTACTTATCTGCAAGCAGTAAAGATCCCTAAGGTGCACAGGTATATCATTTCCACTTTTATATATATATCACTTGGAATCTGAGGCCAGGTCTTCCCAGGAAACTCAAAATTTCTTAGCTGTCACTTCTTAATCCAGAACTGTCAATTAGCAGCAACCCAAAATCCAGTTTAATTTTTCTTAAGACAGGCCATAATCAAGGTATTATTCACATCCTTAGATTGAGCTACCCTACTAGCTCATCTAGCATCTGAAAGATTACCGCAAGCCTCACAGACCTATACTTCAGCACATTACTTGGTTAGAACCAGAGGATCCTTCTCAATCCAGATCTCAGTGCTACATGTTTAGGTCCTCGATAGCAGTCCTCTAACACAATAATCAAATCACTGTTACTTCTCTCTGGAACGCATTTCCCAAAGTCAAATATAAATACGTATTAAAAAAAGAATGATACATACAGAATGAGGAATGGAGGGAGGAGATGCACTTGTACCTTACAAATAAGAGTTTGATAAAAGTACTCAAAAATACAGTTTATAATCTGCTTGGTATCAACATTTCTATCGGTTTTCTTTTTGGAGTACACGTGCTTGGTACTCATGATGAATGCATACCAGCCCGATATAAACTCTGGAGGGGAATGCTGTACTTTTAAACTCTCTTCATAATTATTTAGTAGCTTTAAAACAAACTACAGGATGTAATCTGAATGAGTCAGAAAGATTGCCCAATAATAATTTATTCTTAACCTGCAAATATGGGAGAATGGACGTTAGGCCAAAGGGCCTAAAGCTAATCATTGCTTTCAAGAAAAGTTTGCATACATTCACAAGACTGACACTAACAAAACTGCTAATGAATCCTGGTATTTTCAGTTGTCTCTTCCATTTGTAAAGCTCTACCCCCTGTACCTTTTCCAGAATTAGCATGTTTACAGAGGAAGTATCACTGTGTATCACATTAAAACAGACTCAAAACCAGTAATGCCCATTCGAAAGCAAGTTTGTGGCCAAAAAGTGGAAAGCTTTCCTCTTAGACATGCAATGCACCTACATAAGAAAAATGGGAAGCCTCCCTGCCATTTGTTCACTGCTATGACAAAAAACAAGAACCACATGGTTGAATAGGCAGAATGGGGGAAAAATACTTCCTGTTTTAAATCTTTAAAAATGCTCTAAGATACCTTTATTTACAATTTTTCATACGCAACTTATAGCAGTGAGTAACAGTGCAGCCCTAAAGAGCAGTGGAGCCTGCTAGCCGAGTAACCGCTACTGCAAGCTCCTTCCCCCAGCCTCTTTTACATACCCACAGGAGCACAGCTGACAAACGCACTTCTTCAAGGATGGAACTACATGCAAAGGCACAGGCGATATAGGAGACATGTTTGCTACGAAAAAGTTATGGTTCAGGTCTTTCCCAGCAGTTGCTCTATAGCAGAACAAAACAAACAAACAAAAAAAACACTCTTCAGCAGCAGTCCCTGGAGACAATTATGTCAGAAGATGACCTGGGAACCTCCAGAAGCAGGGACAGAGCACATAAAACTGGCACAGATTGCACTACACATCGCAGCTGACCAGCTCCTTCCCTGGGGCAGCATGCCCAGGTTCCTCTGGTGGCATCCCAACCAGAGCTCTGTGGTCCTGCTTTCAAGCCTCTTCTGACTAGGCCATGAAAGCCTTGACAGTCACCTGGGGAACCTTTGTGAAATCACCAGTACCAAGCTCTAGAGCCCAGGTCTGCAAGGAACACAGCTTGGTGTGTTCCAGACAGCCCATAGCTAAGGTCAGAGCTTCCAATTCTCTAGCTGTTTGACCATGATTAGATCAACATGTAAATGGGCTATTAAGAAGCACTTGCCTCTTAGCTGTTAACATGTCAGCAGCCACATTATAGCTTCCACAACCAGCCACATAAGTCTTTTTTCATAAAGCTTGTCAAATTCTGCTTTGTAAGGAAGATGTCAGATACACGTGGAGATTCTTCTTAAAACCTATTTGCAACTGTTTTTGAAGAAAGGAGAAGAAAGATATACCAGAAGAACAACCTTTACTTAGCAAGCCTTCAAAACTCTGTAAACATATCACGTTAGGGGTCAGTACTTTTACAGCAAGAAGTTTATCTGCTGGAACCTCAACTTTCACATTCCCACCCCACAACAAACAGTATTATCAGTTACTTACGCCACAGTGTCATAAATGTGTATCAACTATTTGAGAATAAAGTGGCATTAACACTACCACAAGTCATAAGTTTTTACAACTTTAGTGTAAAACATTTATTCAGTAATACGCCTAAAGAAATAGGCACTTCGGTGACATTTATAAAAAGAGAGCAGCTTCTATCAACAGGTAGAACTGATGGCAATATCAACCAGAAGTATCAATACGAGAGAAGAATCCAATTAATTTTACTTGGTCCCCTACATTTTGGTGGGTTTTGGTTTTGCATTTGTTTGGGTTTTTGGGGGGTGGGGGGATTAGGGGCAAGATAGAGACACCAAATTTCACTATTTCTCATTTGAGACTGTTTTTCCATTTTCTAAGATTATGCTATCCGACCAACATCTGCTATTTTTAAAAATGTCCTTAAAAAGGAACATATACTTCTGTACATAAATGGTGGGCTGTACATAGAATGCTACTATGGATGACACGAAATTGGAAGAACAAGAGCAGGCAACAAGACTGGAATATAGTCCCCGCAAAAAATAGAAAGGACTGCAACATCTCCATCTAGGCAGTGCTTGGAGAAAATGCTACATGCTCAAGTGAGCCGTAAGTGTGCTACTATGGTTATGCTTCTGCTTTACAAATTCTACACTGATGAAGATTCCTTCGTGTCCGGCTTCTCATTCAACGGCTCTTTATCTGGAAGAAAAAAGTGTATTAGTTAGCACTCTGTAATATTCAATTAATTGACAGAAATACTGCTCCAAAAGTGTTTGGCGTATATTAAAAAAAATCATATATGAAATGGTACTTCTAATTTTGATAGCAGATGATTTTACCTTGCTTGGAACAGTTATCTGCACAGCCACAAATTTAAGTGAAAGCTAAATTGCAGCAAACCTTTGCACAAAATACAAATCTCACTACTCCTTGTTGCATTAAATTCCTAGTACTCCATTAAATACCACCTGTTTTGGTGAAAGTCTTCTGTATAACCATTACTGGATCATTTTTATTAATGCATTTCAAAAATTGACCTCACATGTAACTAAACACTGCACTACTGGTTAAACAAAGTTGACACTTTTGTTGGAAATTGGGTGAGGGGGCAGGCAGGCTGGAATGCAGGACATTTCATAATAAAAAGTATATTAATAAGTATTACAGACTATGAACACCTGACTGACCTCACAAAAGTTCCAATTACCTACAACACATTTCAAAATAGCCAAATTTCTTCAGAGTAAACACACTATTTCAAACTAACTTTGTGAATTCTCAAAATTTAACTTCAGATTACTTCATTGCTAAAGCACCTTAAGGCTTTTTGGGTTTTGGTTTGGTTTGTTTTTTTTTTTTAAATAGCTGCAGATTACCTCAGAAAGTCAGATGAGCACCTTTCCTCCTATTTGCAAGGTGTTGATACAACTAAAGGAAGCATGTTTCCTTTGCTTTTAAGTCTCATCTTCCATAAGGAATAACCATACAAATAATCCGTCTCCCTACACTTCCACAGCAGGGTTCAGCTATTCAGAGTGGGTTATTTATGGTAGTATATACAGTGGCAGAATGGACAAAATCTTGTTGCTAAAGTACATGGACACTTACCCTTCAATTTATGTATTAAGTCTAATGGGATTTCGTGTACCATTGATGCCATTTCCTCCAGATATTGACAGGATACCAGCAAAGATGACAGGGAATACTTTCTTTTATTAAGAGAGATTGGTGATGGCGTCTTGGTAAATTCTTCATCCAAGCAGAAGAGTTCGAGAGGACCGCACAATTCATCTCTCTCCCTTTTTTCTGGTCCAAGACTTAGGTCTGATCTACAACTTATAGATTCACCTCCATTATGTGTTTGATGCAGCTCCTCTTCACTTCCAGATGCAGTCTTTTTCAGCGCTTTAGACGTGTTAAACAGGGACTGTGGATCTAGCTTTGATTTTTGAATATCCCCTTTATTTTTTGAACCACCTGTTACATATGCACTGTCTATTACATCAAAATCAAACTCTGAGCTTGCAGATTTGTTGGGATCTATGTTATCAAGTTCTTCTGGAAGTGTCTCATCCAGTATCCCCAAGTGGGCAGCTTCACGACTGATAGAACTTAATGGAGATACATTCCAATGCAGCATCCCATCCACTAAGGAACCGTGAAAGTGGTCTGGAAGTAGAATATCTGTTCTACTATTTTTTTCTGAACAAACATCTGGAGTATTCATGCTCTTCTTTATGTACTGAAAAGTCTGTTCCGGATCTTCTACAGAACTTTTGTTCAAAACAATACATTTTAACTCCTGTTCTTCAGTTCTCTCACTCTCTTGCATTCCAGATGTTTCCAAAATTGGAGATTCAATGATATGACTTATCCTCATCTGCTCTCGAGGTCTAAATTCTGTACAACTTAATTGGGACTTCCTTTCTGACAAGGGAGGATCAAAGTCAGGTACAGGAGATGCAGGGATAGAGCACATGAATCTAGAGTCTGCCACCTCCTGCATTATAGGTCTAACATCCACTGGAGCTTCTTCTGTCATCACTTCAGTGGCGGCCAGCTCTACCTCTGATGAGCCCTCAGTCTGAATAGCTTTTCTCCATGAGCTTCTAATTTCAGTAACTAAATGGAACAAACCAAGGCAAAATTTTAGTACTTTCATACTCTCAATCCATCTGTTTTCTTCTGTCCCTTCAGTAACATAAGCAATCTGAGAAAGAAGACGTATAGCTGCTTTATATTGTTTATGCTTAGTTTTCTTCCTCAACACAAAGGGGATTCTACACAGGAAAAAAAAAATCTATGTTAAGTAATTCACAGTATTCACATCTTATTAGGCCTACTATGTTGTGTTACAGAGTGAGCCATTAGGATAACTTGCAGCTTCATTGAAATAATTACCTTTTTCTTCTTGTGTGACATGTATGATGTCAAGGAACTAATCGCATTTCCAATCAGTGAGTATTATAAAAACAGAGTTTTAGACTTACGCAGATTTTCTGGAGTTCGGGGAATTTGTTTCCTTGTTAAAAATGGGTTAAAAGCCAGTGAGCTAATGAGATCTTCTAATGTCATTCCTTTTCCTTCACCACTCTGAGGCGACTCAGATATCACTGTTTCTGCAACCTGCAGGATGTTGAGAAAGCAAAATTATAACCTTTTTATTTGTCAGTTATGGCTCAAAATAAATCCCATTCTCCAAATGATCTGAAGAGTTTGGAATCTCCTGACTCTTCTTTTGTCATTTACTACTTAGGCTCACAATGACCAGAGTGTCCTACAAACACAAAATTAAGATAGGGGACTGAAATCAGAATTTAATTCTAAGTTCCCTCATCATCTATGAATCAATCTTTAAAATAAGAAAATGTGCTCAGATAGAATATATTTAAGACACTAGTCAAGAACTGCATAAGCATGAAGACTAGAGCCACATTTACATAAGTAAAACATTTTAGCAGATGAAAAATAACTGTACCATTTCAGTGAAAGATGCAATTTACTTTCCAAATCAAGCTGTGGCACATCTTACAGTAATTCTTGTGAAGGAATTCCTTAGTTAAATCTTATATAAAATACCTAAAAGAGGAAATACTTAAATTCCTGCTTAATATTCCCAAGCCCCTATTAAATATTTAACCTGCATAACTCCAGAAACAGAAAGGACTGCTGCATTCTTAAAAAATGCAGTGGTTCATAGATTAAAGTATGAGAGCTGATTAAAAAAAAAAAAAAAAAAAAAAAAAAAATCACACCATGATTCTACTGAAAGTGCTATTCACTTCACCATGACTTGTAAGTATGGTGAAGTCAAGCTCCATGCTTTTGGGGTGTACTTAATTGGGCAGTGGCCCCTAAAACTTAGTGACACTGATTACTATCTAGCAGAAAAAAGTAACGTTTGACATACGCGGATTACAAGAGGCATTTTATGATATAATTAGTAATTTATTCTCTGAACTTAATGACCATTTATTTAAAAACAAACAAACAATTTAAAAATAATTTTTCCTAACCTCTTCTGCCAGTTCATCTCTGGCTTTCTTAAGAGGGTCTTCTTTTTTGACAGGAGACTCCATCTGGGTAACATGATCACCTGCATTCTCCCACATTTCTGAAATGGTGGACTCACCCTTTCCATTTTTTAAGATCTCCGGAGGCACAGGCTTTTTTTTTCCCTTGGAAGTTTCAATATGCACATTCTAGAGGAATACACAGGAATTATTAGAAGGTTTAAACTCAGGTGTCAGAAAATTAGCATGACGAAACTGCTGTACAAATTCTGAACAGCAATGGCCTTAGCGTTTAGTCAATGAAAATATTTCAGTCTTAAATTCTAACTAAACACAAAATATTTTTACAATCATATTTAAAGTAGGACATAAATAGTGGCAAGGATAGGGTGTCACATAGAACACAGATGACTCATCTGCAACTACCTTAAACACACTACAGTGAACAATTGTGCAACGGACAACTGTACATCCAAGTTGCTTTTAGGCCACATTATAACCCTTAAGTTCACACACCACTTAAAGAAACATCAAAGTCTGACCACTGCTCACACCAAAGACTGTTTCAGCAAGCAGGGAATCAGTGACACACTGTACATTGTATTGGAAGTCAGGTGCAAGTGCACCTACTTCCTACTGTCCTTTCCTAAAGCTTAATGAAGTCCCTGGCAGTTAGCATTTACAGTTTTACGTCACTGATTCAGATGTGTAAAAATACTACTTTAAAAAACTAAAACAAAAAACTACAACCCTCCCCCCCAATACTAAGTCTAGGCTTCAATCAATGTAAAAAGCAAGTATCATAAGTTTAACTTCTTTGACAGGTAGGAAATTACTGAAGAATAACCTTTTCAATTACCACGTCTTTTTTTTCAGATGCTTTTGACAACTCCAAAGGCACTGAAGAGATCCTTGGGGCGTTGGGAGGTGTGCGGCTAATGGGGAACGGGGGGAGGACAAAAAGAGGTTTTAGAGACAAATTAAACAAGTGGCATGCAAGTCTTAGTAGAAGGCCATTACATATTGTGTGCCCCGTATCTGTCCGTTACGATTTCCCTCAATTCGTCCCGGTCATCAGAAGGCATTTTTACTATAGGGAGAACATGTGACAATTAGAGCAGATTTAGCTCTAGTTGAGTATCAGCCTCCCAAAATTAATATATTATGAAACTTTTCCCTCAATTACCAAACAGAAGAAGGGACTTTGTGATACATTTTGTAAACAAGTCTTCTGTATTCTGCCATCAAAGATAGCTAGAAAGTCTTCTGCAGTCTTGATAATGTTCTTTTCCCTAGATATTCTTCCTCCAAATCACCTCTGGCATCCGCAGGTCTGTTCCTATATGAACTTACTGATATTTGACAATCACTTCACTACCAAAAACTTGAGTCTTATCACTTCTGATGAACATAATGCTAACTGCATAGCTCTTTAAAATATAAGGCACAGTCCTCACTTGTTAGGAAGAGCACACCTTAAAATGTTAATATTTGCTGTTATCTGTCTTTAGAATCAGAAGCAGACAAAAATCCATGCTGTATTAAGTCACTGAGAGAAATCCCAGGCTTTAATTGTTAACTACTTGGGACAACCTTTGAGACTTAATGCAACTATATCTACTGATGTCTAAGTATAGGACAGCCTTCCTTTGCTAACGCCCTTTCTCTCCTAGTAGGCAACTTTCAAGTATCTGTAGGAGTCATATTATGAAATACAGTGTAATTCAAAAGGTCATGAAACCTTCCTGGACTAAGTAAATGACAAACAGGCCAAAGCTTTTTAGAATAACATTGTTTTGTGTTCTATCTTTTGCTGGAACTGTAGTGAGAGAAGTTACAGAACAAGGTGATTTTAGAAAATTCATGAGAAAAACCTTGTTGAGAGGGTTTAGCACAGCGATTCTGCTTGGGAGTCACGAGTTTTTTGTTTCGGTTCAGTTTTAGTCGTTTTTTCTTTTAAACACAAAAGAAGGGCTCCTGTGAATGTCTGTTCTTTTATTCTCAGGCTATACTGAACATATATGCCTACCTCAACCCAGCCCAAGAAACAGAATTCTCTGTTTTCTCCACCCACCTCTTAAAACTTGAAAGAATGTAGTTAAAAAGATAAAAACCTTGCAACTTGGCTGCTGCACATCCTATTCAGCAGCAATCAGTTGATCAATCTGTCAACAGCTGGAGAAAGCAGCAGTTACTTTAGGACTGTCTTGCTAAATCAGGTGGATGTGACATGTAAGGAGTGGGCTACTGAAATATTCCACTAAGGATCAAGAGATGTAGTACATTCAACTCCAACAAGCAAATTTCTATTCTTTCCACTGCTTTTTTATCAATTTCTCATTAACATCATACCATCTTGGTGGTGGCGTTGACTTATCCATCATAGTTTCCAATGCCCCATCATCTTTCTCATAACATACTTCATAAACAGAGTCACAAACATCTAGAAAAGCAAGTCAAGAGTTTTATTATTGCTTCCTTTTTTTTTTTTTGCTCAGGCTTCCCAGGTGACACAAGTGACTCAGACCACTTCTGTAGACTATTCACAGGATGGACTTCATGAACACTTCAAGAAAAATAAATTAATACATAAGCAGGACAGTGAAATTAATCCTTTTGCTCAAGTACCACCTGCAGCCACAGATGCCACTAGCAGCCAGCACCTATTTGTGTTGTTCCTGAATGCATGTTCGAGAGGCATGATTCTATCTGCTACCCTGCACATATTAATTGCACATTCCACCTTCCTCCAAACTACAATCCCAGCCACATGTCATCATTACCCCCTCCTCTCCACATACGCATCAATTGTGTGGCACATCAATTCCACAAAGCAAAATTCCACCCATGTTTTCCCCACCATCTTCACCTGCATTTATCAATAAATATCTCTGTGGACATACTCATCTCTCTGATCACCGCTGCCTCAGTCCAAGCAAGGCAAGGCACACTGTAAGGAAATGTTTTGTACGTTACCAGAGGAACACATACCTCAGCTCAGGACCCTCTAGAACAATAAATATCTATTCTGGCACATTGTTTGGATAAAAAGCCAGAGTTTAACCTCAGTAGATCTCTATTAACCCTGAATTTCAGCTTCTCAAACATAAATGGCATTTCCTTTTACATTCACCTCAACACCACCTCCAAAATCCAAGCTCACTTCAAGAAGTTAGGTGAGGTTAACGTTTTTTTTAAAGCTTACCATGTTAACAGGCAGAAAGTTAGTCTTCTTAGTGGCTGGATTCTCAGGTCAAGCATCTTAACCACACAGTAGAGCAAATGCCACAGACACTAGTTTGTCTCAAGCTTTCTGATATTACCAGAAGCTCACAGCACTATTGCGCAGTGCTTTAATCTTTGAAATTTTTAAGGCAAATGACCTTCTATTTGCAATGCTATAGCCTTTCCTTTGCAATTTCTATAGACTTACACCTACGTACCCTCAGACTGCTGGAGCAGTGCTTTCACCTTTGTAACCAAAAGGATCTTCCCCCTATTACTTTGCAGCTTGAAATCAACACACATCTGCTATGTCATCTTTCCTAAAAGGGACTGCAAATGACAGCTGATTCAAGCTGTCTTCCCCCTCCTTTTCCACCCTTGCTTTGTAGCCTTAATTTATAACTCTATACTAGGGACAGTCAACACTTGGTCAATAAGCACTACCCAGTAAAATACAATCAGCTCATCAGCCGATTAGCATGTGTAACATCCATGTCTGATCAAAGTGAGCTCTGATCAGCACTGTTAACCCAATGACTGAGAGCAACCAACACAGAGATCAAGTGAGGTCCTGATCAAATGGCATAGTAACTGTGGAATAAGTATTTCAGAATGCACCAGGGAAAGATGCTTACCTGGGAAGACACCTTCAATTTTTCTTTTCCCAGCTGACCAAAAGGAAGTTTTATCTTCTTTCTCTCTTTCTTATTACTCCTCCAACCTGAAGCAACTTTTACTGTTAGAATGAATGTATTCTCTAGAACCCATGAATGAACCTTTGTACATGGAAATCTGACTCAACATTCTTCGTGCAAGAAGAAAATACCAAACAGCTTCAGCATTGGTTTTTTGCCATATCAAAAGTTTCAGAGAATCTTTGAGACATGACAAGGTTGAAAAATGTAAGGCAATTGCGGCAAGGAGTCATTCAGAACCAGATTATCAGAGACTATCAAAGATACTTGCAAACGCAAGCAGGGAGTCTTTTCAATTCCAAGTAACTTTCAACAATTGTGGCAGAGGCGGAGAAAGGAAAGAAGCTTCTCCTGCTCACCCACCTGAAACTGATACTAGATGTCGACAAAAGACACTATCCTCATCTTCGTCTTCTGCAAGATTAAGAGAACGGGGTGGTGAAGCTCTTAAATCAAGTTCCTTTCAAAAGAAAAAAAGTTACACAAGTAGGCTGAAAAAATCTGCATATTAACAGCAATTAACAGACAATTATTTACAACAGCTTTTCTGCAAACCAGCTGTCAGACTCAACATGAAACTTTTCCTCTCTCTGCTGGGTAGCTAGGCAAGGGTATAACCTCAGATCCCTGTATCAATGTGAGTGTCAAAATGGAAACTATTGTTCATTCATCAAGCAGATCACTTTAAAAGGGAAAAACAGAACTCAGCAGACATTCAGACTGATAGAACATGAAAGCTCAATTTCCACAGGGGGATGGACATGGACAAAACCAAAACCAATCAGCTCGCTCTTATGCTGATCTACTGTCTTGACAAAATGGTTCCATCCCCCCATCTCAAATGAAGACACTAGCTGTCATTACGTCAAATGTATCTTCTTTAAGAAAGACTACTTCATAAAGCAATTTCTGCCATATTGTGCTATCCGATTCCCTAACCTTACATATGAAGCATAAGCATTGCAATAGAACACACCAGCTTAGATGCATCCTCTCTCACCTTCACCCTTTCTCCTTCCCAGAATCAGATAAATTGAACACTACTTACTGGATCCTGATCTAAGGTTAAATTAAAAGGACACAGGTGAAGAAAGCTTTTCCACTTCACTTCCCAGTCTTCCTGTTTTCTAGAAATAGACCCACTCGTCGACACACAATGCTGTTGCTCTATTTTTAGCCTGTAACATATGAGCATGAAAAATGAACATAACACATCTGTTGGTGGAGATAACAATTCTGCATAAAGATGGAGAGTATTATGTGTTCCCCTTATTCTGCAAAATCTTTGATATGTATCAAAGATTATTCATGCATTTGTGCATGTACTAAGAACTAACCGAAAATCACAACCTAAAAAGCAGCTGCTAGGTAGTCTTCATGTTTCTTACAGTAGAATTGGAAGAACTATACTAAAATACATATACACAATGAGATACACACTTAAGCTTTCCCTAATCCAGTTTCAGATAAAGTTTTAAAATCCCAGAACTGCTTAACATAACAAGAAAAAAAAAATAATCGGATCAGCTAGCAAATGAGGTCCCCAGGAACAAATCCTAGAACATTAATGAAGCAAGGGCAAAAAGCTGAAGTTACCTAGAGAAGAATCTCCTCAGTTAGAAGTTATATAGATAATCAAGACAAATGTGAATTTCCCAGAGGCAACAGAAAAAGATTGAACCAACATGTTTTCACTATAAATGATATTATTTTAGAAAAGACTGCAAGGTACGAAGACATGGTCCTTAGACTAAAGAACAAGGAACCAGAGAAAATTTCCAGACAATTACCTCTTTGCCTCCAAATCCTGTAGTACTTTATTGCGGAGCGTAATCCTATTCTCAATGACCTGAAGTTGTTGTTTTAATTCAGATTGACAACATTCATCTCTCAATGTCCTCAGGGCTTCATTTACTAACTGAATAACTGTTAAGAAATTCAGTTTTTCAGCTTCATATACATTTCCTGTACAAAGCTTGAAGCATAGCAAGCAAGAAAAAAAAAAAGAATTAGTGAACAGGATCAATATCAGAAAGTTAATGGCTGAAACATAACCAATACAAAACAGCAGCATAATCATAACAAACTTTTACATACAAATTAGACATTTTCTCCATCCTTGAGCAATCACCTCTAATCATCTATGAAGTACTTTTTTTTTTTTTAATTTATCTAACTACATGCCTGTGGACTGAAAAAAAAAAAAAACAGTTTAGCAAGAAGGACAAAAATTACTTACTTGGTGTATGTCACTTTCAACTCTGTGAGCCAACAGCCACGGAACACTGAAAACAACATTAGTTCCATCTAAAATGCACTGACCAACACAATCTTCAAGTACATCAAGTACAGAATCCACAACTTCCTTTTCCTTTTTCAGAGATGTAAGCATTTCCATTATAAGTGTCCACATACCGCGGACCTTAATAGGCAAGGAGGACAAAAATGCTACATTAAAATGTTTGCCACCTATAATGACAGAGTATCAAAACAGCATAAAGGCAGAAGAAGGGGCTAGCATAACCACAGGTAGACAAGTAGAAAGAACAGTATCTCAGAGTATGTACTGCAAAAATGTAAGAAGAAATACAGTACGCTGCCACAGCAGAAAAAAAATGCTCACCTTTTGAATTCTCCCAGTTTTGTCATTTTTGTTTTGGTCATTTTGTTTCATCCTATATGCACATGCAAAACAAAAGTTCAAGTGGACTACAATGAAATTATAGTCCATATTTCATAAAATTGAGAAATCAAATTTATATATGCTAACTTAGTTACAAGGAAAAACACTTACTTGCAAGACTGTATCTGCAGGACTGCATATTCAGACTTCATCTGTTTTATTTCTTTAATTAAAAGCCTAGGAAAAAAGTGAACAGTTACCACAGATTTTTAAAAAAATCCAAGTTTCTACCCTGCTATTCTCAGAATTCCTTACAATCACTAACCAATCATGCTCATTCTTTCCAAATCTGCATACTGAGGCAGTTTTGGAACGATGAAAACAAACAAAAAAAACCCCAACCACACTTACCCTTGACTTCCTCACCGTGACTTTGTGCAGAAAGACAGCCAGGGAAGCCACTAAGGTATTTGTAAATTAAGCAATTAAGCTGTCACTTATTCTATTGCAATGGAACAGCTTTTATTAGACCCAAGAACAATAATGTAGTTACTAGAAATATACGTTAGTAATATAAACCTCCAAATATATTCAGCAATTGTACAGTACCCAAATCCCTCAGTTTCAAAAAACTAGACAACAGAGTACCGGAGTACAAGCAGCTGGACTACTAAAGTCCTTTTGCCAAAGCCAAAGTGCTTTTTTAAAATTTTTAAGCATGTAAAAACACAGTGGCCTGTTTTTCAGAAACACTGGGTGCCTGAATCATGCTGAATTCTAAAGGATCTTCAGAGTTCTGATGCCTTCTTGAGAATGAAAAAACTAGAGAGAACTACGTTTTTGAAGGGTACCACTCACAAGCTAAGCAAGAGCACTAACGCTTCCCAAGCAGGGTGAGAGGAGATGCAGAATTATAGAAATCAGAGAAGTTTAGGAGACTTTGACCTCTGGAAATGATGTTGTTGAGCCTTCCACTGAAAGCAGAGCCTTCAATTATGTTACTCATGGTTCTGTCAAGCCAAGTCTTGAATGTTTCCCGCACGGAAGATTCCACCACTTTTCTGGGCAACCTATTCCAGGGTTTAATTCTTCTCGCATTAATTTTTTTCTATTTTTTTTTTGTTTTTTCATCCAGATGGAGTTTTCTCTTAAGCACCTTGGGCCTGTTGCCTCGTCCTGTCACCATACATACTTGCGAAAAGAGCACCTCCATCTTCTCTACAACTACTGTTTAGATATTGGAAGATTGTGATTAAACCCCCTGAGCTATGTCTTCTTTGGGCTAAACAAACCCAATTTCTACAGCTTTTACTCATATGTGTCAAGTTCTCCAACCCTCTAATAACTGTGGTCCTCTGCTAGACTCTCTCCTATATTTCAATCTCTCTCCTTAACTGGGGGAACCAAAACTGAACACAGTATTCCAGGTGTGGCCTTAAAATTGCCAGGTAGAGTGAAATACTTCTCTTGATCTGCTGGCTGTGCTCCTTTTCATACAGCCTAGAAGGCTGTTGGTCTTGGCTACCAGGCCATGTTGCTGACTCGTGTTCAGCTTATTGCCCAAAACTACTCTCACCTCTGGTTCTTCTTAGCAGAGCTGCTCCTCAGCCAATCACCCACAAGCCTGTGCTGCTGTTGGGGATTATTCCATCCCAGGTGCAGGATTTCACACTGATCTTTGTTAAACCTCACACAATTCTTGTTGGGCAAGTCTCCAAACCCGGCAAGGTCTCCCTGTGTAATGGCTCTTCATTCCAGCATATTTTCCTTTCCTTTCCTACCTTTCCTCACAGTTTGGCATCACCTGCAAGTTTGGTGGGTTTGCATTCAATCCTGTCATCCATATCCCTTATGAAGACAAGGAATAGTATAAGACCCAGTATCAATCCCGGAGGAACTCCACTCATGATCAGCTGATCATGACCAGTTAGACTTTGAGGCACTACCACCCTTTGGGCTTACCCCTTTAGCTCGCCTTCTATATTTCCAAAGATGACAGAACAGTTCTGAAATTATGCCAGGTAAGTACCTCTGCACCCTTGGATGCATTCCATCAGGTAGCAAAGGTTTGTGTATGTCCAGATTGTACACATGAACCTCTGCTTTACCCTCTTCTACTATCAGTGGTTTGTTGCTTCTTTCATCATTGCTTCTTGGCACAGAGGCTGGGCTACTGACCTTACCCATGAAGACTGAGGCAAAGAAGGCATTAGGTATTTCAGCCTGTGACACTTGTAACTTAACACTATTTCATTCAGAAGCAGACCTAAATCCTCCATGTACTTCCACTTCCTAATAACATACCTATGGAAGCCTTTTTTCAGGCTCTTGGAGCTTTGGCTGAACTTTGGCCTCCATAACTACATCACTGCACACCTGAGAATTATTTCTGTATTTATGCCTGGGAGTCCCTTTTCTATATTGCATACGCTGCTTCTTTGGTTTCTGAGCTCTGTCACTAGCTCACTGGTTTAACCGGGCTGGTTTCTTGTTATGCCTGCTTCTTTTTCCACTGAAGGGGTTGGACCACACTTGAGCTTCAGCAAGGATCTCTGAAAATATCACAGCACCCCTGAGCCCTTCTGCTTTCCACACAATACCTCCTAGCAGTTCCCCAGGCAAGTGGAAATCTGCTCTTTTAAGTCCAGTGTCATTACTCTTCCACTTGTCTTCCTCATGTTCCTTAGGATCTTAAGTTCTACAGTCTTGGCTGCAGTGACCATAAGGCTCCTGTTGGCAGTTATGTCTCTAGAACTTTCTCTTACATGTAAGCAGAGAGTTCAAAAGAGCATCACTCCGACCCAGCACACCCAGTGATTGCATTACAAAGTCATCCTCCAGTTTCCCAGATTGCTAATGCACCACTGTACTGTTTTCCCAGCAAACACCAGGGTAAGCTGAAATCCTCTATAAGAATCAAGGCCTGCAGGTCTGAGGTGTGCTTGATTCATCTGAAGAAGGCTCCATATACCTTCCCTGGTAGAGAGGAAGAGGTGTATAGCAGACACCCACCATAAGGTCTCCCTTGATGCTAAACCCTCTGATTTTGATCCAAAGGCATTAAACAGACCAGTCCTCTTTGTACGGAGCTATGCTGCAAGCACTGAAACTGCTCTTTTACCTGCAGTGCAACTCCCCCTCCTTTTCTGCCATTTACTGAACAGCTTGCAACTGTCCATGACACTGCTCCAGTCATGTAAACCACACCACCCAAATTCTGTAAATTCCAATGATATAAAACTCTCTGCCTGCACAGAAAGTTCCAGTTATCCTTGTTTCTCAAACTGGGAATGTTTTCCATACACAAGAAGAAAGAATAGCATAATTTTGGTGAAATAATTAAGGATTATGTAATTAAAAAATGTGTTCCACAGTGATTAAGCAAAGACCAAATGTTTCAGCCCGAGACAGTCTTAGGATGAGATATGACCCTTCAAAAGTTAAGAAATGATAGTGCTATACATACAGAATTCCCTGATCATTTTTAATGCCCAAGTAACCATATCTTCCGAAATACAGCATCCCCTAACTGAAGAACTAATTTCTTTAGACTACTATGCTTCACAAAAGACCCTACAAACAGAAGAACTGTCAATTAAAGGAGTTAAAGGGGGAAAAAATGGCGAGAAGCTCAACAGAACTCATGATGTAAAGCAGATGCAGCCTCCTCAAATCCTTTTAAAAACACACACACAACTCAGCTTTTGTGAAAAGACTCCAATTTTTTAAATGCATTACTTACTGTGATTTTTTCTTATATTCTTGAATAATAAAATCTTCCTTTTGCAAAATCTGCAGAAGTTTATTGTATGCAACTCTCCATCTTGCATTTGCCATGTACATATCCTTAGGTCTCAACTTTACAGCTTCAGCAAAAGGTATATCAGTGCCTAAATGAAAGGTAATGTTTGGATTACATCATTCAAGTTCAGCAAATAGACAACTCCCTAATCTACCTAGTTTAAACTGAAAGAATCACAAATCAAGATGCCCATTTTACCTGGACTAAAATGAGTACGCAGTGTACTGTCTTTTTTGCCAGTTCTTTCTGTTGTATACATTTTCATTCCCTCACTCTCACTCCCTTTTCCTATTCTTTAGGTCACCAAAACAATACAAGATGCCTAGAATAGACAGTTCTGATCCTTCAGAACTCCTCAAGTTGTGAGAAAGAGTATAATATAGTGGTCCAATATTTTTGGACCAAATCATTGCTTGTGTGGGTAATGGTATACAGCATTACACAGATGAACCCTGGAGGAACACCCATAAAACAACAGAAAGCAAAACAACCTGCACTGTTCTATCAGCAGTAGCTGTATGCAAGGGCACAGAACCCTGTGAAAGATTTTGAACCGAGCAGCCAGCTCAGAACTATTAAAGCTCTTGGCATATATTAAAGACTTGACAGATTTACTGTCAAACATGACAAATGAAGCATTTTTATTCTTCCATTACAGCTTACCTACGCAGTTCGTTTTCATGTCCTCAAACACTACGTGTCTTGCAAGCCGATACAATAGGTGAATAAATTTAGGACCAGCAGGAGAAATAAATGAAGAAGGTGTAATTTGTGGAAGACAGCTTTGGTTTTCATTCTAGAAAAGTTAAATTGGTTTTAAACACAAAACTAATCTAAGAAATAAAGCCTAAACAACAGCCATCAAACATTTAGCTGAGTACCAAAACACTGCAGCTTACTTGCTAGCAAGCCTGATGCAAAGCTAAACTACTTTGCCACCACAGTTGACATCTACTCATCAGCAGAAGAGACTAAAACTTTTTGAATGTTCCTCCCACCATCCCTAGTTCTGTACACAAAAGACAGTTTCAACAAAAAGACTGAAATCAGTGTTGGGTAAACATTAGAAATCTCTGCCCTCCTCACTCCTAACTGGTAATCCCTACCTTTGAAAAAGCATTCCAAGTTTTCTTTCACATTTTCTACTTAAGTCATTAATCACTTGTCCTGGTTTCGGCTGGGATAGAGTTAATTTTCTACATAGTAGCTGGTGCAGCGCTGTGTTTTGGATTCAGGGTGAGAACAATGTTGACAACACACCAATGTTTTAGTTGTTGCTAAGTAGTGCTTAGTTGGTGTGAAGGACTTTGCAGCTTCCCGTGCTCTACCAACTGAGAAGGCTGGAGGTGCACAAGAAGCTGGGAGGGGGCACAGCCAGGACAGCTGACCCAAACTGGCCAAAGGGACATTCCATACCATGTGACATCATGCTCAGGATATAAACTGGGGAAAGCTGGCCGGAGGGGGCCGCTGCTCGGGGACTGGCTGGGCATCAGTTGGCAGGTGGTGAGCAATTGCATTGTGCATCACTTGCTTTGTATATTATTATTATTACTACTATTATTATTAATTTTATTTCAATTATTAAAGTTTTTATCTCAACCCACGAGTTTTCTCACTTTTACTCTTCCGATTCTCTCCCCAACCCCACCGGGGGTGGGGGGAGTGAGCGAGCGGCTGTGTGGTGCCCAGTTGCCGACTGAGGTTAAATCACGACATCAGCGTACTTTGTTCTGCTTTTATCTTACTCAAAGATATTGCATTGTTGGCTTTCACCTTGTCCATTACTACTAAAAAAATAAAAGTGTTCCAGTACATAAGGACCTGATTTCTAGAACTATCATTAAAACAAAGGCAGCATGAGAAGATAACATAATAACCAATGATACCTGAGGCAATCAATTTTAGTTTGTCTCCTTTCCTTTAGGAAGCTCACCTTAAACTTTAGTCCTTTTCCCCATATATAAGGAAACACTAATGTTAAAAAAAAGTTTTTCGTGCATCTGAAACCACTTTCACAATAATAAACACCTTCCCAGGCTACCTAAGCAAACATCTCTCAAGTTGAAGAAAATTATCACCCAGAGCTGAGAACGGAAGCTCTAGGCTTCTGTTTAATCAAATACCATTATTCAGAAGCAAACCACAGCAGTTTTAAGACTCAAGATTAAGTCTCCATCATCTAAATTCCACCATGCCACAATTTTTTCCTCAAACAAGTCTAAGATGTGAAATAAGACACAAGGTAAAACTGAATTCTTTGGTAAAACAACCTTATTTAAAACTCTTATTTAAAAGCACCACATATTCTCTCAAAAAAGAATGAGGTCACAGAAACCCATATAGCATCAGTTTCCACTCTTCATAATACTCACTGCAATATCTTTTAGCCATATACAGCACTGCTTCCTAAACTCAGGATCTGTTAAGTTTCCTGCTGGAAAGGAACAGTCTCTTTCCGTTTAAACAGGATGGGGAAAAAGAAGAGAGAAAAAAAAAGAAAAAGCAATTTCAAAACATGTTCAAATATTCAGTTACCTAATTAACCATTATAAGAACAAGACTAAGACAAAGATTTCTTAGTGATGCCTCCTGGAGGAGACAGAAAATGAGGGGATATAGCCTAGACCAAGAATAGCTAAAAGTTTGTTAAATGACAAGGTTTTCTTGCCATAATAAGTTAATCACAGACTATTTCAGAGACAGATTTGCCTGCAGCTCTTTTTAACTCAGGAGAAGGGAAGAGGGAAAAAAAAGGGGTCAGAATGCTGACAATTTTCATATCACTAGCCTTCCTCCAGCTACTTCTTTAATGTGTAAGCTAAAACAGCTCGGATATACAATGAAAAACATTAAGGAAGATGGGGTTCTTGCCATGTTGAAGATCCTGGCAGCAATCCATGGTACTCACCGTTTGGTCAGGGACATGAATGGGAAAGGTAGATTGCTTTGCAGCTATGAAAGTTTTTACCAAACTTGCCAAGTTACAGATACTATCAGAAACACTTGAATTAAGGCACGTTTTCTGATACATTACAAAGTTGTGATCAAGAGGAAACAAATTCTCTGACTGTATGTTCTTTTCCCACAGCATACCCCAAAAGGCCACTTCCCCCCTCCCCCAGCAACTGCATTAAACCATATTCTTGATCACGTGCACAGCAGTAACCTCACAGGCCAAATACTTACCTGAAAGCTTCTGCTGCGCGGGACTGATCCAGCTTTGCAAACAAGAAGAGGGCAATGAGATGAAACGCACTGTTGTTTGGTTTATCAAACATCTTCCTAATACACAAATAAACAGCTACATCAGAAGTAGTCAGGATGCCGAATTAACACAGCATTTTTATTGGCCGCTTAAGATTACAAATTACTACTTTGCATTAAAATGTTACAAGTTGTACATTGAATGCTTTATTTCGTGCATAGTTAAAAATATACATCCTCCAGCCTATTTAACAAAGTTGAAATAATTTCGGTGAGAGCATTTTCTCTCAAAGAAGTTTTCAAACCAGAGGTATGGAGCCCATCAGCTCACTTTCGCCATATGACTGTGCGGGATGTATCAATCGGAGAGCAAGAGTTATTACTATTTCTGGGTCTCATTTCTTCAGACATAGATAACACAGATCACTACAGCAATTCAGGCATTTCCTTCGTCTTACGTATAGCCAAGGGCACCAGGCCCCTCGGCGGCCGAGACCCCTCCTCGAGGCGTGCGCTCCTGGGTGAAACCCAGGACCCCGCTCGGCGGCTGGCGGCCGCAAAAGCGCCCCCCCCCTTCTCCCCCGCAGGTATGGAGCCCATCAGCTCACTTTCGCCATATGACTGTGCGGGATGTATCAATCGGAGAGCAAGAGTTATTACTATTTCTGGGTCTCATTTCTTCAGACATAGATAACACAGATCACTACAGCAATTCAGGCATTTCCTTCGTCTTACGTATAGCCAAGGGCACCAGGCCCCTCGGCGGCCGAGACCCCTCCTCGAGGCGTGCGCTCCTGGCTGAAACCCAGGACCCCGCTCGGCGGCTGCTGGCGGCCAAGCGCCCCCCCCCCTTCTCCCCCGCACTTACGTTCCCAGTACCAAGCCGGCCGGCGTGGGGGGCGGCCTCCCAAACGGCCGCCTAATGGCCGCCACCCGCCAC